TGGTGGACGTGCTAAAGGCAAACAGAGTCATTGAAATATATGCAAATAGCTTTCCGTTGCAGGGCCTGTTACAGTTCACGGAGAGGCCGGAGTGTGTTGCCTTATTTGGTAAAAATAAGCATACCTCCAGTTCCTATAAACAATTCACAGTTGTCTCAACACATTGGTCATTTGTGAATGACATTTTCTTCTTCAATAGGCACATTTTCAGTAGAAATACTGAACTGCAGGATCTGCATCATAGGAGGTGATGAAGCACTATGCATTCTTAAGTAAAAATAATATGTTTTCTTAAAGCACATTTAAATGCAGGTCTGGGTCTCACCCACTACCGCCCCAGCTCTGCTCTAGCACGAGACTCTAATGCCTGAGCACTAGTTACTCCTGTTCTCAAAAGCTACGAATTTTGATATATGGCTCCTCATCTTGAAAGCTTACCTCTTTATGACTTCTCCCAGGTGAGTGCATGGCTCCAGGCTTTTCTTGTAGGCTCTGACCTGGAATATAGACTCTGCAGGCACCGACTTGTTAAGGGAAGTCACACACCTACAGGGATCATTGCCTGCAGGGAGCTGGGAGACGCTGGCCGGAGAAGATGGAGTCACTAAGCCTTCCTGAGTAGGATGGGAGCCCCAACTTTTAAAGAGGCTCTCCACACAGGTGACAAACCACTAAACTTCAAAGACAGGAAATCCCTTCAGACGTTAAATGTACAGATAGAAAATGACCTACATTTAGGAAAACAGGGAGCCAGGAATTCAACATCATGTTTGTTCCAGTTTAATGAAGCATGTTTGGTGGATATTAACTGGTCCCGCAGATTCCTACTCTAAGCAGACGGCACATTCTTATTCCACCAGAAACCCACATTTTCAAGATCTTATTTTTAAAAAGTCACTTGAGTTCACAGCAGACTGAAGTGACTGTGTAAAGACTCTCTGGGCCAGTTTTTAACCCTTAAAATTAGTCTGGTTTAAAATGACAAATTACTCAGAATATTTAAGAAACTCTGAAAATATTTTAACATCTTCCCACGCATCAAAACTACAGGAAGGCATCGGCCTACTGTGCAGCCTTGGAAAACCAACAGATGGGCTGTTTCAGGTTTGACAGACAGCCTGGAAGCTCCCCGAAAGCACAGGATTCCTCAGTAGTTCCTCCCAGCTCAGAATGCAGAGTCTAGATGGATATCCTGCCAATTCCCCAAAGTACTCAGGGCTGTGTGTCTAGCAGTTTGAACCCTGTGAGTACAAGTACTTACTGCTTGCCCAGTTCGCTCAGAATAAAAGGAGGGCCTGGGATGGGGAGGCTGAAGGGGACAGAGAGATGGTGAAGGCTGTTTTCTCATGGCTGGGCCTCCGCTGTTTCCCCAGCACTCAGAAGAATTACTGAACAAATGTGTAAGCAGGAAGGAAACGGGGCGGGGGCTGGGGCTGGGGTCAACCTCATCTCAGGACACAAAAGTTGTCCTGCGCATTTTCAAAAAGCGAAAACCCAAAAAAGGGTCGAGATTGGAAAGTCCGGGGAACCAAAGAGCTTAACCTGCATTCCCTGGTTGTATCAACTTAAGCCTCTCTGAGCCAGGAGGTCAAAGTTAACTCTGCTTCCCCGCTTACAAAACAAGTCAACTTATTTTGTACATAAAGCTATAAACTGTTTGCAAGTCTCCTAAGTCGAGCACTTGGGATGAATTATGAACGGAATGAGCCAGCTTGACTTGGCATTTCCTCACTTTTACTGGTCTTTAAACAAGATTTTTATACATTCATATGTAATCAATGGGACCAACACATGAAATGGTCCCTAACGTAAAACACTCTCTTTTTAGAGTGATTTTGCAGTTAAGGAAACCTAAATATGAACTTCTAATGTGGAAAAGGTAGTTTTTACATGCTGCTTTAAAACTGATCTGGAAAACTGATGAGCTGGCCACAATATTTCTGTCAGAAACTGAAATTACATTTATATTTTAAAGTACAATTTTAAATGCTTGCTTTCTTTCTTGTAGCCAATCTGCTTCTCATATCCTTAGCCTTAGTCACCTTAAAAATACATAAATTTGGTACCTTAAAATACATAAATTTGGTATCTGGTTATTGAGTTTTTAAGTTGCAGTATAGAATAATTTAGAAATTCATAAATACAGAGCACAAGGAAATCCTTCCTGAGTGCAAAACTACCTTTAAAATGATCATCTGAACGAGCGAATGCTACAAGTACACCTCCTGATCTAATTTCAGCTACTCGTGATTTCATATCTTAATATATTTTCTTCCATATTCAGCTTGCACTGTCTTAAAACTTCCCTCCAAACTGGCATGTCCAAAGTGATTTCAATTAACAGTTTGAGTAAATAAAACTATGCTATCAGGATCAATGTCAAGCTTTGGAGAGAAAAATGAACTCGGATTGTTTGGTGTTTTTTTACTCCAAAAAGGCACACGTTCAAATTTATCCCACGCATATATATAAGAGAAGATTAAAATAAAACAGTCCTCAACTGTTACCACAGAATGTAAAACACTACACACTGCAGTAATACTTTTTATCATATAGCTAATAACAAAATATTTGGAGCAGTTAAAAGAAAGGCACTAATTAAAGTACACATAAAAAATTCAAAGTTTAAAAAGCAGTTGGAAAAAATACTTCTTAGTCACTTAAAATCGAATTACTTGCACATTTTAATGGTCTTGTAGATTTCAGCAGTAAAATGTTTTTACAAACTTCTTGCCTTTTCAAGTACCTCAAACGTATAAAGAGCAGGGAATATTCTTTTTCCTTCATAATACATTCAAAAGTATCCACCATCTTGACAGAACTGTTATGGTAATAATTTTCTTATATCTGATTATAATATTTCTGTAGAATGGAAAACAATCTCTGATTTTTCTTTGGGGGGGACAGTGTGGAAGAATCCCTTTAAAACACATTTTAATATTCATTTAAAAGATATTAATCCACAAGTTTCTTTACAAAAACCTTTGATGTTACAATTTCACATAGACTACATTTACAGTTTTGGAGTAAACTGAACTCCTTAAATAGGTTGTACTAACCTTGTTTAAAATTTAAAAAAAATTACTTACAGTAATCATATATCTACCTGAAGAGAGTTAAAAATACTAGTCGTGATGTTTTTAATAGTTACGAAAATATTTTTTCTGAAGGACAGATGAACTTCAATCTGAAATGTAAACCCAGGACAAAATAATACAAGCATAAAGTTTCTTTTGAACTTCATAAATCAATGCAGAAATGTTTATCATGAAATTTTAAATACAAAACTTTTGGTCTGAACGTTTGAAAAAATCCTATGCCGTAAAATACTTGTTTCTAGATTTATTCCATAAACCTACTCGCCCTTCATTTTTCAAAGGAACACTGATCGACCACATTCACAGTTGCCAGTTGCCAGTTGCCGTCTGCAGCGAATGGCTCCAAAGCAAGTCACCGACATGTCATCTGTCCTTCCCCCCAAGCAGGCACATTGAGTCAAACAGAAATTTTGTCATTTCTACCCATCCCTTTTAATTCTGTTTTTATTAGCTCTCAAAGTCTTGATAGCAAATGTCAACTCACATTTAACTTGTTTGCTTTTTCAGCTCCATGCGCCAGGCCAGGCTACTTTGAATTCAATACTTTGCAGATGATAATAAACAGGGTTGTTTTAAAAACTGTTACAGAACACTTTTTTCTCTCATCTAACTTATGACAAGAAAAAAAAACCTAAAACATGGGACTATAATTCCCACTATAAATTAATTCTATTTATTTTAGGCTGGAAGTGTCAAGTGAACATTGCTTATCAAAAGATCTTCGGCTGCTCCATTTGTCTTGAACATTACCTTGCCAAACAAAAATCAAATGCTCTTGCCATCTGGAAAATTAAAAATATGAGGCATCCGCATCCTAGTAACCCACTGAGCCTCGACAGGAAACTAAAGGATCTTAGGTGGCAACTTTAACTTACCTCTTAGGGCTTTAGCAACGGGTTTACCTTAAAATATTTACTTTCTGGCAAAACGTAGTTCATTCTTAAATGCAGCTTAAAACCTTGGACATCCCTGAGGAAGAATGATGCCACGAACTGGGTCACTACCTATTTATTTCCTATTTCACTAACTTCTCATGAACACACTCCTGATTTTGGCTCCTCAGATGGCAGCGTCTGCATCATTTTGGACTGCAAAACAAGACGTGGCCCGTTGGTTACCTCTATCTAAAAAGCACCCGTCTTTCATTGGGTGCGGTCACCGACCTCCTGTCCCTCGGAGACAAATACTTTGCCGATCTCGCACCCCTCTTTACAAACCTGAGCGGGGCTTTCGGGGGGAGGGGGAGGCAAGACTTTGGTGGGAGCTGCTTCTCTTCAGCAGAGCGAGGGCTGACTGCAAGGGCGCAGGCTGGGGGCTGGAACTATTTCCTGCCGATTCCAGATTCCACTCCGAGCAGCGTGGAGAGGAAGTCGGACTTCTTTTCCAGGCGGAGCTTCCACGTTGGACTTGGGGGAGCCCGCTCCCGGGTCCCTGCCCCCGGCGGGCGGCCCATCGCGGGCGAGAGGGCCAAGGAGAGGGATCCCGGGAGCAGCGGGCCACGCTGGTCTCCGGAGAAGGGGCTGCGCCGGGGAGAATTCGCTCCCAGCGCCGCGGGCTCCAGCCCCGAGGATGCACTTGAACCCGCGGCGAGGCCAGCTGCCCGCCGCGCTCCTAGCGCATCCGCGCCCCGGGCGGAGCCGGACGTGAGCCTCGCGCGCTCCTCGGGCTCTGTCGGCGGAGCGGCCCGGCCGGCCGCGCGGCGCTGGGGGCGCCACCCGGTCCCCCGGGGTTAGCACCGCCTCGGGCAGCGCATCCCACTCCGGGACCCCGAGTCTGAAAGCGGAGACCCAGGGCCGCCTGCGGCAAAGCTCGGCTTACACTTCATTTTCCGATTTGAGAAAATGTCACAGGAGAGGGGGAAAGGGAGGGGGAGAGAAGAAGAAGAAGAAGAACTGTAAATTCGAGTTCGAGGGGGACGTGGGCCAGGCGTGCGCGCGGCTCCGGGCGGCGCGGCGGCGGGGGCGCCCCGGCGGGGATTCCCGGTCTCGCAGCGCACCCTAGTGGCCGCCTTGCTCCTCGCCTGCTCCCCGCGACGCTCGCTGCGTCTCCCCGAGCTCATTACAATCCGCAATATATTATTTCTTCCGAAGTATTGACAATGTGTGAGACTCCAGTAACCCCAGAGCTCTTGCCTGTAATCAGCACATTTATTCACATTTAGGGAGAAGAATCCGAATTAAATCCCCGTGACCCAGGTTGGGTTACAGTGTCATTTTCCCTGGATCCTCTTTTAAATCCACTCCACGCCGCTTCTCTGTCTATTACATGCTAATTTAATTTTACTGTGGACGATATTTTCAGCATTTGCTGAGGACAGTAAATTTTGTAGTTTATGTTATTTCACTTTTTATGACTTTTTAACACTTAATAAAATTTTATTAGAGCACTTTTGTGTTTACAAGGCCACAAAACTCTTGGCAGGTTGTCAGAAGTCCTTTTTATTATGATCCTACTGATATACTGCGAGTAATGAAATAATCATGTCCAGAAATGTATCAAAGGCCAGAGGGATTATCCCACTTAATAGCTCCACAGATGCGCCCAGAAGAATGCGGACCCGCGGCAGGACAGGCTGAGAGGCGGCCGGAGGAAGGAGGCAGCCCCCGCGTCTGTCTTTACCATTTCAGTTGCTTTCCTAAAAGGCTACATGCAGGGTCATGTGACTTTCCGCGGTCTCAATAAAAAAAAAAAAAGAATTGATTCTATTGCAAAATGTGCTTTTCTTTTTATTCTCCTTGTGTGCATTGAAGTCTGTGCTAGTGGCAGTGGGGCTGGCTCAGCATATCCGTGTCACTCACTTTCTTCTCATTTCTAAGTGTACTTTTGTGGCATGAAGCAGCCTATGGTGACATTGGTGTTGATCGGTGCGACTTCTCCAGCCCACACTGAGAGAAGGCACGGGGAGGCCCCAGGAGGGCACCAGGTGCTTTAAGGATTTCCCCCTCCTGCCAACAAGCACCTTTCGCTGTTGCTTTTTGTTTTGTTTCGCAGAACAGGGGAGTAAGTGACTTGAGGACTCTGCTTTCTGCTTTGTACCAAAGAACCACAGAATGCTGCTTTTCTTTTATTTTAATGTTTGAGTAAGACTTGCTATGAGGACAGATACTGCAGCTTTTATTTTTATTTATTTATTTATTTTTGTTAAAGAACCATTTCCTTTTCTTTTCAATGTATATGTGATCATTTAACACACTGCTCTTAAGTTCATTCTTGCTGCAAAAGGCCATTGTGCTTCCTGACCCTGAAAGCAAGGTGGGTGGCTTTGTTTTATAATAAAATTTTCTGTCTCCAGTTTCATCTTTCTTTCTCTGTTATTTGCTAAGTAGTGCGCCAAAGTGATCAAAAAGCTGAGGGATGGAGTCGTAAATGGAATGATTTTGAAATTACTGTCACTATATCCAGAGCACGTGTTCTTCTAAACTTTGGCTTTGAGGGACTTTGGCAATATTTTTCACGAGTGTGCATGTGCGTGCGTGTGCGTGTGCGTGTTTCATGTTCCAACACATCACATTTGGATTTTGTAGGCTGTCATTGTTTGAAACAGCCCCTGGGAAACTTGCCCCTCTTTCTGGATCGCCTCCACCACACACATGTGTGTGCTCCCCAATTCGGGTGTGTTGCTCATGATGCCGCTCACGAGGGCTCTTTGATTCCAATTTCAAGGGAGCAGTTTTGTTCCTTGGATGTCATTTGCTAACCATGCACAAACTTAGTGCCTGGTCTAATAGTCTACAGTGTGTGCAGGATGGTTCAGGTTCTGAAAAGAACGTATGAAGGCTACCACCCATCTCTTAAGAAAAATTTATGATCTCTATCTGGACAACCATTTTTCCCTTTTTAACAGTGTCTTCCATTTGCAAAGATGAGGAAGTTTTTCTTTCTTTTTTCTTTTTTTCCTCTCTCATTCGTTTCTCTAACATAGCTGAAGAACTCAAAGAGAAAGTGATGTTGGGTTCGGAGGAAACACTCTTTCTCCAGACTGTTATCGATGATTCGTGTTCTCTGCCTTTTACCACAAGGGACACAAAGTTGGATGGAGAAAAGGGTTCGGATTTTAACCCTTCAGATTTTAGAGCATTTGACGTAAGGGAATTTGTGCCCAAGTGCTTGAATCAAGAGGAGCATATTAATTTTAATTCTGCTATAAAGTGACGGTTCAATTTTATAAGTGATTTCAGTTCAGGACAATTTAAATAATACTAGGCTGTAATAGACTTCAAGTTAGAAATCTGTTTTATTAGATTATGAAGTAAACCTCCCCTAAGGTAGATATTTTTTAATGCATCAAAGTATGTTTGTAATTCTTATTCAGAAGAGCGAGAGATTGCCTTAAATATAATGGATGACACACAGCTTGGTCAGCAGAGGGGCTCACTGGTGTCCACCGGGATTTTAGGGATTTTACAGCCCCATTCTGAGCTGAAAGGGAAGAGTGGAGCCTCACTCCTACCTTCTAGGGAATCTATCTTGGACAAGAGGAGTAAACTAACAGAGCCAGAGGTGTGGAAGGGGCCCCCTCGTGTGACCAAGTGCTGTCAGAACGCGGTAAGGCGCGGGGGTTATGAGGACAGACCCTAGAACCGCTTTGCTTGCGTCTGATTTCTCTGCTGCGTATTACTGTGTGGCCTCGCACAAGTTATTTAACCTCTTGGTGCTTAGTTTCTTCATCTGTAAAGTGGGACTCATGTTAGTTCCTCCTCCTAGTGGTGCTGAATGGTTAAAAGAGTTAGTTTATACGAAATGCTTAAAACAGACCCTGAATGCTGCTGAAGCCCCAGGAAGACTGGCGTTCCCATCACCTAGCACGTGCCTGGCACGTAGTGGGTTCAATAAATATTTGTTGGATGAGTGCTGACTGTTACTTCATCGACTGTCCTGGTGGTTCCGGTGTGACCTGTGGGGCAGAAACTAAGGCCATGTCAGCCTCAGGTCTGCGCTTGACTCTCCTGAAAATGGACAGCCCTGCAGGAAAAGTTGTGCCCAACTGCTCTTTTATTTTTCCTATGGGTTTCCATACTGTCTCTCAGTTAGCTACTGGGTTACAAATTTCTGAGGAAAGAGAGTTCACATTTTGGGAGGAGGTCCCCATACTCAACACAGTACTCCTTTCAGAAATAACAGATAATGGACAAGAGAATCTAATACAACAACATATATCAAAGCACTCTTTGACCATCTGTTATTCAATAAACCGTAGTTACAAGCACTATGCTAAATTCTTGGATATATTATTTCACTCCATCCTCACCTTGACCTCTGTATAGGTAGTTATCACAATCTCTGTTTTACAGGCAAGAACTAGGAAGCTCAGAGAAGTTGTGTGACTTTCCCAAAGTCACACAGCGAGTCAATGACAAATCTGGAAGCTTAACCCAGGTCTCTGGGAATATAAAATTTATGCAATTAGTCAAATACTGTTCCACACTGCTTCCCAATCTGTTTGGTTTATTGGCCCCTAATCAATTTGGTCATTTATGATTATTGGGTAAACCATCATGAAAATGGAAATGATGAAGGCTGAGACTCAGGCCCATTATTCTCAAATTATCTGTGTCTTGTTCAGTGATTTGAATGCTGGACTCGGAGTGAGACACAGGCCTGCCTCACAGGGCCTTTCGTGTCCTCAGTTCATTCCACAACTACAGTTAGGTATTTGAAAAAGCCCAACAGAGAAGTCAGGGTTCCTTTATTCCCCATTTGGAAAAATATGACAATATGATTAAGCTAAATTAACCTGAGGTATTCGAACAACAGGTGAATAGAGTTTTGCACGGTGATTAAAGATCAAGAAAGCAGAACCCAGACAAGTGGGTGACAGAGCGGTCTTTCCTTTGCACCAAAAGTTCTTCACGAACTTTAAAGTTATTCATTCTCCTGAGACAGTTGACAGGTGTCGTGACCATTTCAGGGAAGAGAGAACAAACTGAGACAATAAGAAAAGCCTTGATTCCCATACAAGGTCACTTAACGGCAAGCCAAGGGCAGAGTGGGAAGGGTCTGCTTCCACATGACTGCACCCTTGAAACAAGTGTGTGTGGAACCCAAAAGAGGGCGTCCAAGAGCGCATGAGTTGTCTGTCCTAGGGACTCCTCTATACCCTCTTAGTACAAATACATCCAAAGATAGATTTCAAAATTGAATGATGAAAAGATGACAGCCAAGAGTGGCCAGCTGGTAAATCCTATACTTTCCTGGAGCAGTTAAGGCTCCATCTTGGGTTTGTGAGCAGCCACCCTCACCAAAATAAGAATTCATCTTTGACTCGTGACTTTGTGACTGTTGTTGCCGGGAAAAGGCGGGGGAGAGGCGGAGGAAATGAGGCGCCTCCAAGGGACTCATGACTCCGCAGAGCCCAAGCTCACTGCAAGGCTAAGAAAGCTTCCAGCTCGTGAACCTAATTTGCTGCTGGGGACAAGGCCAAGCACAGATGGCGTTGCTGGGGCAAAGTCTTGGATGTACCAATCTTCAGAGCACTCAGTTCACCTTTCTGTCTCAGAGTTCTCCTTTTCGAATGTGAAAAGTAGTCAGAATCTTAACTCATATTTATAGAGTTTGGGGAATTAAAGCTATATTTAGAGTTGGGTTTGAGCTCTTCAGTGTGAAGTCTGACTCATTTTAAATAGATAAGTAACTTATTATATCTCGATGGATATTTGTTAAGAACGAGAGAAAACTAGAAAAACAACATCTGCTGCTAAATTTAACCCCACTAAAATAAAAATGTAACACTATATACAATAGAACTGAGGTTGAGAATTTCTGGAAAGAGAGAATTGATGCTCAAGTCATTTTGCAGCTGATATAGTTTTAAGCCATCAAAACTTTAAGGACCTTGAGTAATTTTCTTCAAATTTGACTTGCCTTTCTTTCTACCTGTGAATTTGCCATGTTGAAGGCTATTGCTATTACAGGTTCTGAATGTTAGTGCGTCTTTTGGGAAAAGGTCTGAGTACTTTTTGATGATTTGATGGAAAGAATGTACACTTTTTCCTCCTTATGTATCTTTCAAACCAACTGCTTTGTTATAAATAAATCTTGAAAAAATGCACTCTTTTTAAG